GTCATACAATGTTCTTCGAACCCACATGATTCATTATCCCCCGCAACGCGTTTTGCGGGGGGTATTAAAATGGACTCTGTCCGTGCGTGCGTCCGTCCGTCCGTCCGTGCACATTTGTCTTTTCCGGAGCAGAACTCTAAAACCGTTCAATATTTCTTCACCAAACTTGGCACATACATGGATCTGGTGGTGTACTGGTGCCTTTTGGTAGTTTTGGAATTCTGAATTAAATGTTTTTGGCGTTTCCATGGCAACAAGTTCGACTTTGACTGAAATTAGTGGTAGTGCTCTTTTCCGGAGCAGAACTCTAAAACCGTTCAATATTTCTTCACCAAACTTGGTACATGGATAGATCTGTTGGTGTACTGGTGCCTTTTGGTAGTTTTGGAATTCTGAATAAAATATTTTTGGCGTTTCCGTGGCAACAAGTTCCACTTAGACTGAAATTGGTGGTAGTGCTCTTTTCCGGAGCAGAACTCTAAAACCGTTCAATATTTCTTCACCAAACTTGGCACATAGATAGATCTGGTGGTGTACTGGTGCCTTTTGGTAGTTTTGGAATTCTGAATAAAATATTTTTGGCGTTTCCATGGCAACAAGTTTGGCTTAGCCTGAAATTGTGGTAGTGCTCTTTTCCGGAGCAGAACTCTAAAACCGTTCAATATTTCTTCACCAAACTTGGTACATGGATAGATCTGGTGGTGTACTGGTGCCTTTTGGTAGTTTTGGAATTCTGAATAAAATATTTTTGGCGTTTCCATGGCAACAAGTTTGACTTAGCCTGAAATTGTAGTAGTGCTCTTTTCCGGAGCAGAACTCTTAAACCGTTCAATGTTTCTTCACCAAACTTGGCACATAGATTGGTCTAGTGGTGTACTGTTGCCTTTTGGTAGTTTTGGAATTCTGAATAAAATATTTTTGGCATTTCCATGGCAACAAGATTGACTGAAATTGGTGATAGTGCTGCTTTCTGGAGCAGAACTTTAAAAACCTTTCAATACTCTCCTTCCACTTTTCTATATACACACCTAAATATTTCTATATACACACCTAAATATTTGACATAATCATAACTCGTAGACATAATCATGAAGAGTATTTTGCCATTGCGGGGGATATTGATGACTTTGTCTTCTTGTTGAACTTGATCCTCCAACCTTTTACGATCGCTATGGTTTGCCGATCTCACCCACATTTTGCTGAAATCAAGGAAATTCCTGATGGCTCTTCCATACATCGGACACCTCCAACAGCCTGGTGTACTGCAACAATCTCTCACGAATCAGCCGATCTCTCCGGATATCTCGGGATGTTCGGTGATCCTATTGACATCAGTGAATTCCTCGCTCTCAGTTCAGCCATCCTTGACAATTACGACCCAGTTCTCGACTGCATCACCGACCAGCGATTTTGACTTACCTTCGGCGAACCAACCATTCACCGATCCATGGTCGATGAACCCCTTTGTCTCGGCTACTTTCAGCTTCGGCAATCTCGTTCATCTCTACCGATTCTTCGCAGCCTACTAGAACGACACAGCCGAACCTACATGTCTCATTCCCATAATACACAACATGAACATGAACTTTGACTTGATGGTGCAAGTCATGGTGACGGCTATGAAGCAAGTACAGCAACTAGATCAGTTACTGTATCTGGATCGTTATGTCCTACGTCCAAGTTCGCTGATCTCACCAGTCAATGTTCGGGAACGTCCTCTCCTTCTCCCATGGGGAGACCCCTACATCGCATCTACACTCAACTCAGGCTACTAACTACTTATTATAGGATCTCCATTGCTGACAAGCAATTCAGTTGCAAACCTACCCCTCGGCGCAGATGCCAGGTCTATAACACTACTAATGGGATTCCTCCCCCCGGCATTTCTATGACCCACAGCACGAAACACATCACTCAGTCACTGAGACATCGTGTTCAAGGTTTGCACAGAAATGCCAACCCATGCGATTTTATAATATTCGTTACGAAAAACAACACAAAATGCAACGACTACGATAGCAGTAAAATATACAATTTAAAAAAAATAAATTATATTAAATTATCAAATAGCATACGTACCATAGACAACAAATTTCAACCACATTTTATTCAGTATCAAACATGTAAAGACCAGTGTCTTGAAAATCATTTAACTTTACATGCAAACCGGAGGTAAACGAAGACAGTGGGATGTTAGAGTTAAGTCCTTTTACGGAAACTTGTCTTAGGACAAGCGTCAGCGAAGCGGCAAAATGTCGAACCGTCACTCAGGCAGACGATTTTTATCTGTCACTTTCTTAAGTTTCAAACTGAAAGTCACTGTGGAGCCATCAAAGCTTAAAAATCTTAAAATTGATCGGCAAAGATCACAAAAATTCCTTTCAAGCCACAGTTCAGAGTTTCCACTCATTGAAACATCTTTGATTAGTGAAAAACATGCTTTTTGTCGTGTGTGCATATGTGATTTTTCTGTTGCTCATGGCGACGCTGATGACTGTAAAAAGCATCTGATTTCAAAGAAACATTAGATTAACTTTGAATTACAAGGGCATATGAAACCTCTTATTTCTTATTTCTCTCATAAACCGAGTGAAAATGACAATGGTGTTTATTACATATGAAAATTCTTTGGAGATGTTAATATCAATTTTGGCCAATAAGGACTAATTTTTGCTTCAGTTTTTGCCCAAAATACTATGTGGGCTAAATTAGGGTTGTCATCTCTTCTTACGTCGATGATTGTATACAAGCTCAAAGAGATTGACACATCCTCCTACAACATCTACAATTTACCACCTGCCAGAGAAGATCTTATCAAGTAATTAGAGCTGATTCCAACTTCATACGGGTGTACTCAGTCTACCATCTAGTGCATCAAATATCATGGAGGTCAACCTGATAATGCACCGTGACATCTTAGAGGAAGTTGACTGGAGGTAGTTCTTTGGAACACAGTAGACGACTACGCTGGCTACTATACAGTTTCACTGTATAATCACATGGGAAATTTGTGTGTGAAGTTTCAACAGAATGCAATGCCTGCACACCGGATCTATAACATCAACAGGGGACTACTGCATTCTGCAAAATAATAAAGAAAGCGGTGAAGCACGAGCCAGTGTTATAGCGAGACAATGAGACAGGGTGAAGCGCGTTAATTGCTCCCCATGCACAGTTCCGCGACGAATCCACTTTTACGTAAGGATTTCATTTCACATCTGTTCCTGAGGCTTGAAAAAATGAAGAGAGCAGTTATGCCTGAGCCAGCGTTATAGCGAGACAGTGATCGCGCTTTAGCGTGAGAATTGCTCCCCATGCACAGTTCCTACTACCTTCGTCAATCCATCAATGCATTCAGTGGTGGCTTGGCGAATCAACTTTTACAGAAGAGTTCCGTTCTAAAACCACTGTGACAGTGGCAGGAATTGCTGGGCTTTCTAATGTTAGCCAAAGCCCTCATGACCAGAGATCAACTACAACTACGGCCGATCCAGAGGATTCTACAGACGTTCCCATGTGCAGATCCTTCTACCTTCCTCGCTCCTTCACCACCTGCGAATGTCTGCATAGGAGTTGACACCGTTCACTCCCACTCATCATCACTTCAAGGATGGGGAGCTTATCTTCACAATCAACAAGTGGCAGGGCTGTGGTCACCCAATGAACAGTCCCTCCACATCAACAAACTGGAGTTCGAGGCAATCACCCTAGCCATTGCACATTGGGCTAAGGATCTACATTCACACTGACTTCTCATACGATCAGACAGCTCGAAGGTGGTATGGTTCATCAATCATGTGGGTTCTACAGGATCGTCACACCTTCTAGAGTGGGCAATCTAGTTCTTCCAACTGCTAGACTCCCTGGTGATCTCCACAAGACCAAGTTAACACATACTGGGAGTAAAGAACATCATCGCAGACTCACTGTTGCAGTCTGACCTTCTTTCCCCAACAGAGTGGAAAATACACCCAGAGATCCTCAAGACAATCTTCCGATTACCAACCCGCAGAGAGATCTGATTGCGATCAGGCTCAACAACCAGTTACCCAGATTCGTGTCACCAATTCCGGACCCTTCAGCCCCTTATCAGGACGCCCTAGCGATCTCTTGGAGGACCTAATACACTCACTAGCCTGACTTTGTCATAGGCTGAGAGGCCAGCCTTATACTTTGACACAGGTGATTGACTTTCATGCTTACTGACCTCTACTCTCACAAGCAATCACGTCAGTGAAATGTGAATACCGAATTCCAGTGGATTTCCAGCGTTCCACTCTTAGTTGCTGGGCACATCCTTGGTTAAGCTTCTGCAAAGGAGCAAGGGTCATTCGATGACGTCCAGAACTGAACATTAAACTGTTGAGCACACTTGGCTGTTTCACCTTTCACCTTACTGTGTGATTGTAGGAAACGGTTTTGAAACAGGGGCTGGCCAGATTCTAGTCGCAAGACTTTAATTCACTGGGCCTTTCTGATAAAAATTGGTGCAAGGCTTTCTGATAAATCTGCTTGCCGAGTTCCGTCCTTTTGTCTTGAAAAAAATGTTTGAAAAAAACACATTTACTCGGGAGCGCCCACTCCCTGGGAGTTTTTGTGCTGAGTACGCCAAGGGTTTTTTGAAGAAGTAACCCATCACAAGTATAGGAGTTATGCAGTCAATCACATTACTTTCATTTGAAAATCAAAATGATAGAAATATGTAAATACTTATTTTGATCATGTGTGTTTGCACACACAACAGAAATTGTACATTTAAAAAATGCTCATGTTTGGCATCTGATTGTTTTTACTTCATTTGTTTAGTCTAAAATAAGAATGATAATGGCCATTTATTAATGTTCTAAATTATTATGGTAATAAACTTGTGACCTTATATTTTTTAAATGGTGTTTATAGTTCATCAATGCACATGCCTTGTTCTGATGACTCTCCTCTCTGTGTATTGTGTATCTACTCTGAACCCAGTCAACAGCTGACACATAAAATGTATGTTACAGGCGGCAGACTATATGCTGAAGCTCTACAATGACATCTTCCTCAAGTATGATGCTACATTAGTGGAAATTAACCCAATGTCAGAAGATGCCAATGGACGGGGTAAATACATTTATTCCAGCATTAAAAAGGTTGTTATTGATATTTCTATTGTAGGTCTCATTGAGATTGGAAAGTGTAACAGGAAGGTAACATCTAGATTGAGTTGGATGTAATTACTGCTGTATGTCATGAGACAAAATAGTATAGTTACCGTTTAAACATGTAGCTTTAATTCATAGGAAAATCATCTTGTTCAGAGATATTGATAAATTGTGGTAAAAAGTGTTCATCAACACCAGACTAATTTGCCGTCTGATAATGCCTAACATGATGTTGCTTGGAAAAATCCCTGTAAAGCAGATTCGCCATCTAAGTACTGTACACTAGGTCTGTGAACTGGCAAATAAATTGTATTGCAATTTATAGTGATTCTGGCACCCATATTGCGATCTGTATTGCGATATATTAGGAGCCTAAGTGTTTGACAGTGATTGACTCTGATTGTACATGCAGTGCCTATTTTCTACACACTATATCCATAAGATTAAACTTTATGGTTGTCATTACAGAATTTGAATTTAGATTTGATTTTGAGGGATTGTATTTTCTTTTTTATAAAATGTATTGTATGAAAAGTATGCTGTGTTGTCAATTAATTACAATGGAAAACTTCAGTGTAAATGAAAGTCTGTGTCCATTTTAAAGGTCACATGCAACGTAAAACACAACTTTGCAGATTCTGATACCTTTCGGTATGGACTTACCGAAACAAATCATCAAAAATGCAAATTCAACTTATAAAGTTGAAAAATACCGCGATGAAAAACCCGGAGTTCAAACGATTCACTAATTTTCCCCCAGCTCTTGGGGGAAAAATGGTTTCAAAAGCTGGGCTGCGCTGTGCTGGGCTGCGCTCATAGCACATGCGCAGTGAAATAGGTTCGCGCAGCTTGGAAGCGGGTTGTCCGGTGAATACTCGGTGAAGGCTTTGGTGTGAGCTATTTTTCTAATGTTTTGTTGATATTTCACAGGTGTGAGCTTTTTATATGTTATGACAGTAGATTACCGATTTAACTGTTTATATAATTTCATTTGTCTATTTCACCACACGTTCTTCTTACCGAGTCACTTTCTCAGTTCGATACTTAAAAGCAATGTCATTATTTAGCATTGACAGAATTTCTAACTGTGATATAGATATGTCGTTGTCACAGACAAAACTCAATGTCTGTATAATTGGCACCTATATGTCTGCCTGCCTGTCTCCTAATGACAATATTCAATACACAAATTCGATCACTGACCACATGCAATTTGAACTTAACACCTATCAGGCTATACACCATAAACAAAACACATTGATTTATGGCCCGAGTTCGGTCTCTGTCACATTATGTAATTACACAGACAGGCAGGTGTGATACTTGTACACATGACATGTTATGATGTCTGTTGATTGCAAAATGTATTACACAAAAAATGAGCATGTATTTACAAAACCAACATCTCTATATATACACACACAATGAGCCGTGAGGGCATCTGCAAATGAACCAGCCTTTACACTTGAGTGCACACCCACCCGCTCTGACTGGGTTCGCTATCCCGGCTGCTTCATTTCTTGGGAAGTAAATCCAAGTACAAAATATTGCACTTTTGATTTGCGATTGTACGCTTATAATTTTGTTTATGTTTTTTCATAACCAGCAATGTATATTATATGTCATGAATAAGTGATAAATTGTGTTATAATTATGTTTGGTTTTTTGGTTGCATGTGACCTTTAAGTTCAAACATAGAGATAGTCACAAAACTTCAATACTTTATTCCCCAATGTACCGGTTCTGAGAAAAATCATTGCAATATGTATCGTTTGAAAGGCGTTTTGCAGGTTTACTTGTAATTTTGTGCGGTCCTACTGTACACAGAATGTTTCCCATGGTACTTACCCTCGATGAATAAAGCACTGCAACTGCACATGGGAGCAGCATAACCTTCTATATAGAAATGCCACAACACAGCAAAAGTGTAAATCATATGGAATCAAATTCTAATGTTGGAACTTGAAGCTACATGCTAATGGTAGTGCTCACAAACAAGCTGTTTAGACTAAAAGTACGAAATCTGACATTGTTTCTGCATTATATGAGAAAGAAGCCATGCGAAACATTTTGTTTTGCTAATTTTACTTACCTCAGATAGTACCAATTGACTTTGATTTGCACAAAAACTGTGCATGTAGGTTTTACCCAAGTGGTAGGCATCTAAGAACTGCATCACAAAAGTGGTTCTTCCTACAGTTAGCTGATATGCATTGATAACATGGATGCTGTTAAACAAAACTGACTCACTTACCTGTGTAACAGGTTTTAAGTTACATTTCATTTCTCAGAGTGTGGCCCCTTTAGCATGATGAGGATTGAAATTACCTTATTTTTTCATGTTAAAGCAATGAAGCAATAAATACTCAGTATAATTATGATAATGGACGTCTGTAATGCATATTCAATCATTAATGTATGCTCATAGCATAGCATGAGCATCAAAGAAGATCACTAATGGATCAGACAAAGGCGGGAATTATATTTCTTTTTCAGAAGAGGTCTCCTTGGGGTTTATATACGCATTTTTGTGTCCATTAAAAATTCCTAAGGCAGGAATAATAATACTTGGCGTCAAGACCCTCTTCCAAAACGAGTAAGCCAAGACCTCTAAAGAGGTGAAAATCCTAGGTTTCTGAGGAAATTCTTTTCTCTTCCCCAACCTACATCTCCCCCACAAACAATGTTGCTGCACTACTAGCGATTGATTTCTTACTTATAGCAGCAGCAGAGATCGTCTGTGATCTCAGACGTATCTGGGCTCCAAGAGGAGCATGGTACCTGGTCTATGGGTAGAAATGGCACCGGCGGATCTGTTGAGGGAGGTCCGACCTGAGCTCTGGCTCAGGAAAAGGTCTTACCTCTGGAGGACGATCAGATCCGAGCTTCGGCTCCGGGGACGCTCTGAACCTGGGGACCTGAACCAACCCGTACTTCGGCCCCGTAAGGTGCTGGTAGCTCAGGTCTCAGTGTCTATCGATGTCCTTGCAAAGAGGGTGTTGAGTGGGATGGAGCTACAGGTCACCTCGATGCTCCTAGGTCTACCTGAGTACCAGGAGAACCCTGTATACAGTCCGTTTGACTTCATTTGAGACCGATGAATTGCTCACCAACACAAAATCTAATAAATGCAACAAAATCAAACTTTGCACAGTCACATGAAATCGACAGACAAACTCTGATGATTTGTCTCATAATTTTGGACACCCGAATAACAAATGATCTTTATTTTGTTGTCACTTTTCGCTGTTTTTTACGAGGGGTGAACACTTGCTGGTATAGCAGCCAGGTGATCAATAAGCATGTGCAGTGAAAATTCAATTTCACACGTACAACTCGTACACCTGGCTGTTCTACCAGCAAGTGGTCGATTTCATGTGACTGTGCAAAGTTTGATTTTGTTGCATTTATTAGATTTTGTGTTCGTGAGGAATTCATCGGTCTCAAATGAACTCAAACGGACTATAGTCAGGCTACTTCCATGTGTCTCGGCACCGGGGTTCGGACTCTCTGAACCTGGGGACTAGCACCAACCCAGGCTTTGTTCCCGGTACGGCGCAGATCTCCGGCGCTGGTATCTCAGGTCTCGGCCTGATGTCTTTCAACTCGAACCGCGAGCTTCAGCTCCGCTGACGCTCTGAACCTCAGGAGTAGTACCGACCCGAGCTTCATCCTCGGAAGGGCGCAAATCCCCAACGCCAGTAGTTCAGGTCTCGGCCCGATGTCTATCGACGCCTTGCCCAAGAGCCTGTCAAGCGTGCAGGGGATACCAGTCACCTCGATGCTCCGAGGTCTTACCTGAGTGTTCGGGGAACCCTGATTTATCAGGTTACTCCCAAGTGCCTTAGAACCGGGGTTCAGGCTCGAACAGTGGACAAGTCAGTTTGAGCATCGGCTCTTTTCAATACTTTGATCCTTACAATGAGTCAGTTCGTCTCTGGGGCATCTGCGGGATAGAATTGCGGCTGTGTTGCCTAAGGCATTGTCCACGAGGAGGGCCCGAACCATTAGAGTTCCGCCTCCCGGGAGAAGCCTTTGCTTCCAGCAAAGGGGACACGGCCTCGCATTCTACCATCAGTCTGTCTTCCTTCCCACTTAACAGCCCAACGCTGTATGCTCCACTTGGCGCATCTCTCTGCTCTGCAGGGGGAGCTGGTGGAAAGGGGAAAGAGCGCCGATGATTCTTCACTGGTGACGCTGGCATGGCAGCTGATGGAGGTCCACTCTCATCTGGCTAGGGACAGCATTTGTAGCTGTGCCAGCAATATGATGATTGTGGTTATGGGCCTATGGCACCTGTGTCTGTTTCGAGGAAAACCTAAGTCTGTCGAGCTTCTCGTTAATCCCTCAGGTGCCCCAGCACCAGCAAATGACATGTTACCGACTGCAGGGGTTTACTGTATTCTGCCTCAAATCCCTGGGAGAAGGCGGAGATACTTCGTAGCGAGATCCAGTCTCTGCTGGGCAAGGCAGCCATCAACATGGTTCCAAAAGGTCAGGAAAATGTGGGGTTTGACTCCACTTATTTCCTTGTTACCATAAAGAATGGAATGTTCAGAACCATTCTTAATCTGAGGGCTGAACAAGTTCATAGAGGTACTGTCCTTCAAGATGGAGTCACTGCGCTGAGTGATCTCATCTGTCGTGGCAGGGGATTGACCTCAAGGTTGCATACCTCCTTGTTCCAATGCACCCCGATTTCAAGAATTACCTTCGGTTCTCCTACGAAGGGACGTGCTACCAGTTTTGTGTGCTCCCCTTAGGCATCTCCACGGCGCCAAGGGTGTACACCAAATTGAGGTCTCTAGAACAACTGTTGAGTCTGGAAGCCACACGGTCAGTGTTGTACACCCTTACGAAACTGGGCTAGATTGTCAGTCTCAAGAGTCAGACCTCGTCTCAACGCAGGATCTAGTCTTTCTTGGGAGTGATGCGAGTTTGAGGATGAGCCCCATACAGCAAGCTTTGACACAGCTTGGGTCCCACTCAGAGAGCTACAAGATGTTTCTCGAAAAGCCAGAGTGTTTGATTCCTCGTCTGCAGTGGTGGACAGACGTTGGGCGTCTCTCCACGGGGCTCCCCCGGAAGACACCGACGGCTCTCAGACCAAACAGACACATCCCTCCCAGGTTGGGGCCGTGTTCTGGGCGACCTCAGTCTCTGGACAACGAGGTCACAACCTGCACATTAATATGCTGGATTTGACACCGGTTCAGTATGTGGATAGGTGGGGCGCGCTGGTAGCAGACAAGGGGATTTCAGAATCCCTTTTCTGCAGCTTTAGTTCGGATATTGGAGTTACTTTAACATTGTTTTGGAAGAGAGCCTTATGGCCTCCACCATTCGCAGGTACTCCATGGCTGTTGCAACCTTTCACACCCCATTCAATGGTCCTCTGCCTGGGCAGCACAGCGCTTCATAGCTGGCATAAACAGGGTTCGACTGCCTCGGCGGTGACCTAACCCACCTTGAAAATTGCCAATTGTTCTCAATTGGCCGTCTGCTCCTGACTTTTCAAGTCTATCATCTCTCTCACTTGTTGACATGGAAGATGGCTTTTCCTGTGGTGGTGAGCTCTGGTAGACTATAGTGACTATAGTGAATGAACAAAAGGGATCTGTACAGGTACCCATCTGTTCTGCTACTTTGTAGTGGAAAGACTGGAGAATCTGCTCGATTACAGTGCTAAGGTATGCCTTCCCAGAGGGGTTGAAGGCACATTCGGTGAGGGCAGCTTCCGCCTCAAAGGCAATATACACAGCAGCACTGCTCAGTGAAGAGATCTGTTCTACCGCTCTTTGGAGCCGACCAAGCACCTTCTTTCGCCATTACAGATTTGACATCCATTCTAAGGATCGTGCTCGGTTCGGTCTTTCGGTTCTCTCCAGTGGAGACTGTCCTGCCACCCTGACCAAGTGAGTAACTGGTCATTGGTATCGGTTCTGTGTTCAATGTCTATATGGTTCATATCACTACATCGTTTTGCCTTACCACCCTTTCGGGTTGGGTTTGGGTGTACATGCGTCCCTTACGTCTTCTTCATCTAAAGGCAAGAGAGAGCAGTGCAGGTTATGAACGCTGTAGCAAGTTATATGCTATTATGACGAAAATTGGTACGAACCCCCAACGGGTCACTGTTTTGCATGCCTCTGTTCCATCCGAATGTCATATGACCAGGTAAGTGTAATATTGAGCCAACCCTACTTCGGCTATGCTTTTTCGCTGTTCTGGGGATTTTTGTACGCTAACAGAATTTCCCTCTTCTGGAGACTTCGGTATTTGGGGGTCTTTGTTAATCAGCACTTTGAGTGATTGGGATTTACACGTACCCTCCTTGCACCGAGAGCATTAGGTGGGGGTGTTTTATCCTGCTTTTCACTCATACAATTGCGATTGCACTCGTTCAGTTTCCTTAGAAAGTTTTTAGTGGGGCTAATAATTTCTCCGGGTTTTATCAAGGCCCCAGCAAAGCCCTATTCCAAATAGGAGGGGTGCCTTCGAGCCATTAGTCCGCAGTAACTTATTAGCTCGGCAATTGTTCGGCCCCTGATCCTGACTCGTGTCCTCACCTAATCGGCGTAGGAGGTCATGTGACTGGGTAAGTGCTATCTTAATCTATTTTTAGATTTTTAGAATTCCACTTGAATTGTGATTCGTATTGCCAGACAGAATGACACTCCCGATGCTATTCTTTGGGAGTCTGTGTTATGCTTATAAGTAACCCAAGGAGAACCTCTTCTGAAAAAGAATCGAACCAACCTGCAGAGGTTGCTGATTCTTTAAAGCGAGCCCTCCTTGGGGTAGGCCACCCACCTCCCCACTTTCTGTCTGATCACGATCAGCATGGAAAGTGAGTTACGAGGTTGAAGGTTAGAGTTACCTTCTCTTGGCTGTGGGGTCCTGCGGGGCCCTGCAGGGGTGGTCAAACAAGACAAAAACATGTTGGTTTTTTTTCTAAATATTTTATTCAAAATATAGTTAAAACTGTCGTAGGAAGTTTTAATGAACATAAAAATGCTTGTAAGTACCCCAAGGAGGACTCTCTTCAAAGAATCAGCAACCTCCGCAGGTTGTTTCGAATAATAAAGTCTAAAATGATTGGAAAGGGACTGATTGATGGCAGCAACAGAGAAGTGGCATTGTTCATTGGTAATGTTCTGAGACAGGTGGATTTATGCTTTGTCTTGATACTGATAGCAGATGTTAGTGATTTGATTTAAAATTTCTGTAGGATAACCAGTCTAAGTAAACTTAGGCTCAGTATAACAAAACCTAGTAGAAGGTCGCGTCAGCTAACCTTTGAGCGACCTATGACCGTCAAATCAAACGTGAGACGGCCGAACGGATTTAGCCAATCAGACAACGACTACTTTTAGGGTTTGGTGGGACTTACAAAGCGGTTTGGGATTTTCTCTTCCCTGGTCGCTGACACTGATTTATCAACAAACTTAAATCCGCATAAAAGACAGATATTTGATCTGCAGTATATATGCTTATGGGTTTCTAAAGACATGGTTACTATTGGCTTATATCTTCGCAAGATGACATCCTTGATTATTGACAAAAACGCTATTTTCAGCGACTGTTTACTCATTGCGTGTGTCACTCGGAAGCGATCGTGTGGAAAATAGCATTCGGAATCGTTCGAGTTTTTTAGGTAAAGGTTCAAACGGTATGTCCGAATATTAACTTTCGCAATTTGGTAAGCTGTGTTCTGATTGGTCAGTCCAAAAGGTTAGCTGATGCAACCTTCTACTAGGTTTTGTTAGACTCAGTATAGCAGTGTAACGAATAATACTGAGCCTAAGTTTATTAGACTGGTAGGAGAACATTCCAATTATCACTATCAAGAATCAGTTATGTGATAATGTATATGAAATTCATTGTTCACAGTATTCTGCATGGACTGCAAGTTGAATTTTGATGACAATGCTGCATACCGCCAAAAGGATATTTTCTCTCTCCGTGACTGGAGCCAGGAAGATGACAGAGACCAACGGGCTGCTGAAGCAGATCTCAATTACATAGGGTTGGATGGCAGCATCGGATGTCTTGGTATGTCTGTAGGTTAAACAGATAATACTACTCTGCAAGCACTTGTATATTTATAGCAGGGAACTGACAGATTGTAGTGAACTGAACCACTAGTTGTATTCATATGTCTGTATGTCACTGGTAGACATTATTTATAGCAGGGGACTGACAGAGCACTGGGATGCAACATCATGTGTATTGATATGTCTGTATGTCAATGTTAGACATTTATAGCAAAGATTTATGTTTCAGATGTTTTATAGTTGTTATTGTGTATATTATTCCTTCTGGACAAAAGATTCTGATCTGGGTGGTTACCACATGATATTATGCGGGATTTATTACTGACCCAAGACTTATCCTATTCATGTGAGATTTGCTGATTGTAACTTTGTGTTAATGTCTTCCATCATGTTTGTCATACATGTGGTAAATCGTCACATTTGACAAAGTAATATTTATGAGGCTACAAACCTTTCAATTTACCCTGTTAGGGTATATGATAACAGATACAGAGGCTCGGTATGATAAGTGATTTGTTCTGTTTGACTGGGAATGCAGCAGTGTAAGAAGTTAGAGAGTTGAGGTGTTTTATAAGGACTTGAAAATAATTTCAGCTGAGCAATGTGTTATTTGACAGTAAATGGTGCTGGTCTGGCCATGGCCACTATGGATATCATCAAGCTGCATGGAGGCACTCCAGCCAACTTCCTGGATGTTGGTGGTGGTGCCACCTCACAGCAGGTGACCGAAGCATTTAGACTCATCACATCAGACCCAAAGGTAAGGGTTAACACAGTTTGGTAGTGGTTTTAATTTCAATGTGATTAGGCATTGTCAGCTCATTTTGCTATTTCATATAAATGCCGGATTTATTATTGTCATTTTCCATTTTCGAATGTATTAATTATTTAAGCAAATACTTAATTTTTTGGTTTGGAATTCATTACAGTTACATTGAGTCAGGATAATAAAGACAGAAACAGGATTGTGTTTTAGAAGAGTATTACTGAACTATTGCACTGCTTTGTTTTCCGACAGGTTCATGCGATATTGGTGAATATATTCGGTGGGATCATGCGATGTGATATAATTGCTCAGGGCATTGTAGCAGCCGCAGCAGAACTACAGCTGAAAATACCAATAGTTGTCAGATTACAAGGTGAGACACACATGGAAGAACATCCATACACTGCTTCTGTGGTGGCTGTTTATTTGTCCGCTATTGGATTGGTGTCCTCAGTGAGGAAAAGGTGCATATAGGCTGAGCATGTCAACCCTCCGGGCCAAAGTTCACTCTCATGGAACTTTTGTTTAGACTAGAGCCACAATCAGGGTTGCATCCTATTTGTCAGAAGATATCAACATGGCACAGCTATTTTTGTTTGGGCTTGAGTGGCCATTATCCGCACCTCCAGACAGGGACACTACTTTGAGGATGTTACTCTGAATATTCCACAGCTTCGGGTGACCTAAGTCTAAAGGCTGTTCATCTTGAGGTAACAGATATTGTAGAAAAGCCAGAGATAGTGCCTCCATTAAGGGCAGAAAACTTGTTTGATTAAACTTGCCTCCTGGTGTCCATGTTGTATATGGAGGCTCTGCAATCAGTATTGTCAATATTACAACCCAGCTTAGTTCAGCGTGCAGGATTAGTATTTTCACATGTCTATTCATTTGTACTTCAAGAGTTTGGTTTTCTGTAGAGGAATTAGCAGTGTGCGAAATTTACGCTGGTCCTGTGGTCCAGGGCTAGTAAAAATTCATCAGGACCACTAAATGATAAGTTTGCAGTGTTCCTGGTAGCCAGTGAATTTTGTCTTTATAGTTAAGTAAATCTATGAATGTTATTTTGGACCAGTGAGACCAGTACAGACAGGACCACTAATTATTGTCCACTCACTGGTCCAGTTGGTGCAGACTGCTGTAGCATTCAGTTGTTCATTTAGAAGTATGCAGCAGCGTCGTGGTCAGATCTGCAAGATCTGTGTTATTTTCTGTACTTTTTTCCAGGAACAAGAAACGAAGATGCAAAAGCTATCATCGCAGCCAGTCAAATGAAGATCTTAGCCTGTGATAATCTAGATGAGGCAGCTAGAATGGTGAGACACTATTGCTTGTACTGAAGTACTGCGGCAAAGAACATCTGTAACACAAGCACATCAATATTGCCTGTCCCAGGATGAGCAGAGCATCAGTACTGCTACTCCCTGGACAGAATTATGAACCTTTCACCTTTTGTAGCATATAGTCCTGATTTTTAAACTTATCCTATCTCACGACTTGCACCTCTCTCTCTTCATTCGACCATGAGTGGAAACGAATTAAAACTTTGCTCCAAGGCCTACCTTGCCCCTCTCCCGTGCTGTGCGTGCCTTCTGTCAGTCGTGCTCACTAGTCCATGACAGCACGAGGCATGCGCAGTCCTCACCCACGTGATCACTTCACATACTCATTCTCTTTCTTGTCGCTCCACTGAGTGGACGTGAAAAATTTTCGTCTGAGAATTGCTCAAAATGGTTAAGCCTGTTAAGGCCAGTAAACGGAAGTTTTACGTCCGTTGTAATAAAGTATTTTCAGCATGGGACCCTCACACATCGTGTATGTTGATTGTGTGGGTGTTTGTGGACTGGGACACACGCTGTCCTAAGTGTTCAGGTCTGTCTAATGAGGCGTTTAATCTTACAAGCGTGCTTGTGCCAGGCGTTTGGCAGATAGGGCTAGGACTATTTCTGCGGGTCTGGTCCATCTCCGCTAAGAAACAATGCTTAGATCACCCCACCCTCACTGCTCACCGTTCTCAATCGGCCGTCCTGCCTCGACGAAGATTTTATGGACGCTTCGTCAGATTCCTATTTATCTGAGAACGTGAGACAGCTTTTAGGGGAGGTTCCTCACCCAGTTTACGTTCTCAGGAGCCGCACCAGGGTGGTAATGACCGATATTTCTTCTACGCCAGACCTGCGATCTACATTATCTCGTGGGGTCTGTTTCTTCGAACGATCACAGACTTTGAGAACTTCTAAGCATTCATCGTCAGAGCGGGGGATCGGCGCGGTATGATCGTGCCCGCTTCTCCTAATTCCACGGTTTCATCTAACCGGAACAATTCACCCACACGAAGTTGAATCACCATCTGGTGCGAAGGTTCAATCGTTCTTCCACGGCTGGCAAGAGTTGTTCTAGGTCTCGTTCACTTTCCCGAGCCGGCTCACCCCGCCGAGCCTGCCGAACCGACTCACATCGCCGAGCCGGCTCACACAGCCGAGCCGACTCACATAGCCGAACCGGCTCACCTTACCGAACCAACTCACATCGCCGAGCCGGCTCACACAGCCGAGCCGACTCACATAGCCGAACCGCTCACCTTACCCGAACCGGCTCACCCTGCCGAACCGACTCATCATCGCCGAGCCGCTCACACGGCCGGCGGCTCACCAGAACATCCTCGAATGAGTTCAGTTGATCGAACTGATTCACGTAGTCGAATGGGTTCCTCTGGCCGTACTGTTTCACGTACTCAAATAGGTTCACCAGGACGAACCGCTTCACATTCCCGACTCAATTCACCTCAACAGGTGTTTCCGTTCGACTCACCACAGCGTTTTGATTCACACAACCGAACCGGCTCACACGGCCGAGCCGGCTCACACAGCCGAACCGGCTCACACGGCCGAGCCGGCTCACCAATACATCTTCGAATGGGTTCACCTGACCGAACTGATTCACGTAATCAAATGGGTTCACCTGACCGAACTGATTCACGTACTCGAAGGGGTTCACCAGGACGAACGGGTTCACATTCCCGACTCAGTTCACCTCAACATAGGTTTCAGTTCGACACACCATCAGCGTTTTGATTCCCGTAGTCGTTCAGTCTCGCCTGGTCGAGGTGGTTGGCCATTTCGATCCGGTTCACCTAGCCGTAAGGTGTGTTTTCGTCAGAGTGATTCTCGAAGTCGGTCTCATTCACTTTAGGTGAATCAGGATATCCCGTCTTGTCAGTCCAGACTCAGTAGCGTAATTTTGCGCACACTGTAACAATATTTACTTCCTCGGATCCCCAATCGTCATGTTCCTGGAGCAAACGCTGTCGGAATGTGCTCCCTTATTAAGGGCGTTTTTAGAGCATGTAGACATACTTGCTCCCGATGGCTGGCAGACAGAGCTCGTTACACTTCAACAGTTGATCACCCGACAAACCCCGCTTTAACGACCGGTATTAACTGCTCGTCGTCCGCGCAAGTTTCCCATGTCGAACGGTGATAATTTTATGGGCGCATCATTAGATGTCTTCGTGGTTCCGCCTTATCAAAAGCGCTCTGTGTTGCCAGTTGACTCACATCCGATCTACTTCGGCCAAATCGCCATATACCGAATGGATTCACCAGACCGACCCGTTTAGCCATACCGAATGGATTCACCACACCCAATCGGTTCGCCATACCGGGGATTCACCACACCCAATCGGCTCGCCATACCGAATGGTTTCACCAGACCGTACCATCAAATTGCCAAACCGGGTTCACCACGCCGAATCGGTTCGCCATACCAAATGGATTCACCAGACCGAACCGATTCGCCACACCGAATCGGTTAAGCCATACCTAATGGATTCACCAGATCGAACCGTTTAACCACCGTATGTGAATAATGACATTGACTCAGTTTGCCATAATATTAAGACTGTTTCTTATCGCGAGAAACAGTTCACATCATCGATTCAATTCACAGCAACGAAACGATTCACCTCGGCCGGAACATTTCACCTCGCCTCACTGGTTCATCTGAGCGTTCTAGATCTCTCCATCAGCTGAGATCATTTAACCGGTTCGGATTACCGAACCGATCCAGATCAGTCACGATTCAGATCACATCGACTGATTCAGATCACGCCAACTTTCCGCTCACCACCCTGAACTGATTTACCAGCCGGCTCAGTATCGTTTCACCAGGTCGAAAGCTCCCTATCGTGGAACCAGTTCACCTGGCCGTTCAAGATCAATGTACAGAGGTAGTAGCTATGTGCTTCACCATGCCGATTTTATTTACATGTGTAGCGCAGTCATCTAGAGATATCACGCTTCGGCACTTGAGCGGCCTGGCGATCCCCAGTTCTCAAGAGTCCTCCGTGACGGAGCTCATCTCATTCAGATTTAATCTACCATCCGATCTTCACTTTTGATGAATGATTCGGTTCAACGATTCTACCCTCCGGTGTAGATATCAGTTCTGCAACCACCGATATGGCATAACTAGATACGCTATGCGAGCCAGGAATACTCTCTGACGCCTCGATGAGTCTTGTTACTACAGACTACCGTAACAGCGTGTTTGTGTATCCTTTGGTGCAATTGTTGCAGACGGCTCGTCATCTTCAGCTCCTTTGTTTTACATGTTAAGCAAGTTTCTGGACAGATCACAAATGGATGAAGTTCTTAGCATGGTACCCGGCACTGTTTTGTCAAATAGCCAGCATAGCTCAGCCCGAATTTATGGGTTGCGCACTTCGCCCGGTTAACCAAAGACCAGGTTGTCCGTATTTTTGTCACCGTCGTGTAAGCGTTTGCAAATGGTGGACTACTGTTTGTTTACATCGAATTTTGATGATTAGAGTGACTATGAAGTGCCCTTTGCAGAATTCTCTTGGTCCCACGAATCGGATACCAAGTCCAGCCTATAAATGCAAGTAACAACGAACGCTGCCATTCCCCGATAAGAGTGACTGTGTCGGGATTTTGACAGCCAGTCGAGAGACTGCTTATTGAGGGTGACGGACAGAAACACCCGTGAACGGTTTGCCTAGTCAAGCACCGAGTTCAGAGGTCACTGCATTATGCAAGGATTGTCACCAGGCAGCGATCTACTACCTATATCACTCCACCTGGCGCACAATTATTTGTTCGGCCAAAGAAACGTTCCTGAGGTCACCGATCCTACTGAATTTCTACAATTTGTTTATAATGTGAACGTTCCTGTAGATTGACTGACAATCTCCATCGCCGAACATACTACATTGAGCACTCCGTCCAGAACTGGCGTAGTTGTTCGACTTATTGAACGTTCTTACATCAGGAGATATCTTTTTGTCAGAGGCAAGAGTGGTTAGACCTCTCATTTCCCTCGACCTCGCGATGGCCGTGGGGTAGCCTAGTGGTTAAAGCGTTGACTTCGTCGCCCAAGACCCCGGTTCGATCCCCACATGGGCACAATGTGTTCAGCCCATTTCTGGTGCCCCGCCCCGTGATTTTGCTGGATTATTGCTAAAGGCGGTGTAAAACTAAACTCAGTCAGTCAGTCAGTCCCTCGACCTGTGAGACGCCTTACCTTCACATCCGGATACATCCAGACTATTGGAAGTATCTTCGATTTACTTTATGGGCGCCCTTGATACCAATGGAGGATCCTGCTGTATAGGCATATGCGCAGCCCCGCGGGTTTTACTCAGATAGCCATTCTGTTAACCAGCTACCTGCATTGTCGAAGCGTGACAATTGACAACAATATCGGCGACTGTGTTCAAGCCCAGCAGGATCCAGTCGTCCTTCCTTTCCACAGACAGTTCATCATCAAGTTGCTCACGCAATTAGGATGGCTGCTAAATTGAGCAATCAGGGGTAACACCGACCGCTGTTTCTTCTTATTGGGACAATATTCAACACGCCAGGTCATGATGTTTGTGCCCTAGAAGAGGTGGGACAAGATTCAGTGCAACGCACCACTAGTGTTGGTCCAACCCACACCTTTTAAGCCAGTGGCAGAAGTTACTAGGGTGGTTGGCGTCGGCACAAGTGCTGACTGACAGGGGCCAGCTGCAGCTTGCCCTCTTCAGATGGTTCTGTGCCCACACATCGGGACGACAACCCCAGGGAGTTGATTCGTCTTCCGCGCAACTACATTCAGTCTTTCGTTGGTGGCTCAACAAGTGGAATGTTTGTGTTGGAGTCTCTAGGGTGCCCTTCATACCGACTCAACACCTATTCGTTGGCACATCTTGCAAGCTGGAAGCTCACTTTCTCCATCAAGTGGCCTAGCAGTGGTCATCAGGAGAAAGGGCCCTTCATCACAACGAATTGGCATTCAGCATTGTCATTATCGCCTG